ACCCACGTTTTTGAAATACCTTTTGAAATACAGGCACGGCGGTCTGCTGATGCTCAGGAGTTCTGCATTTGCTTGGAGAGTGCTGTGATCCCCCTGTGGTTTCTAATGACCCGAGTGGGAAAGGAGACTTTTTCTGAGAGTCAATTTTTTTAAAAAAATCAAGCCTAATAAATTCTAGGTTGTTCTGGACCATGACTGCTCTTTTTGAAAACAAATTCCTTTTCCTGTCTTCTGTATGTGATAAAGGAGTCCCTACAGAAGCCTCCCTCAAGAGGCATATTGTCAAGCCTCAGTGACAAGATTTAACTTGTAGTTTCAAAAAGTTTATTGCTGAAGCTTCCTCCTCTTTTTTTTTTTTTTTTTTTTCATTGAGAAATGCATAAAGTTTGCTGATGTTGGTAACTTAAAATATACATGTCTTCAAGATAACACTTATTAGTTGCTTTTTTTACAGGAGCTTATTACATATACTATTGAAATACTTATAGGAGAACAGCTAGTTAAGGGATCAGTTATTTTTAGTATAAAGTGACAAAACATAGAATGAAGCAAAAATTATTTAACTTCTCTTGTGAGTTTCAGGGGAAGTTGGTAGATTCCCCTTAAAATAGTTGTCCTTTCTCATTAGTAGGATGTTGGCAGTTTTACCAAGTGAATGTAGGCTGCTGCTAAATTTCTCTTTCTTTTTTGACTGCTTTTATTTTTCTATCCCCTTATAAAGTTGGACTTTATTTTTTTAGTTTGGACAGGAGTTTTTAGAAAGATATTTGTGAAGTCTGAACTATGACTTTGCTGGCTTAACGCTCTTGCTAGACTACTTGTGGTCCTGTCTTTTTTTTTTTCACCCCATGTGTATTTCTTCTTAACAAAGTCAGATGAATTTCAACTGAAATTTCTATGTGATTTAATGATTTTTTTTTTTTTTTCCTTCACATTTCACTTACCATGCTTTGCTATAGAGAGACTATTTTGAACTTACTCAGTTCTTTTTATTTAGCATCTCACTTTAAATTTTGATAGCCTTTCTGTTGTACTCTGAAATGGTAAGGTGTGAGGTGAGGTAAGACATGATGGTTCGGGACAGAAGAGTGGTCTAAAAGAAAGAACCATTTTGTCTTCCTCCCCCCACCCCCATGTTCTTTCTCATAGCACATGTCATGATAGGTGGAAAACTGAAAGAATACCTTTTAAAGACTTTTGAAATTCTACTTTGCATAGAAGTGTTTCAAATGCTTTTAAAATAGTAATTATATTGGAAAGTAGCATTTCTTTTGAAGGATGTGAGGTAGGTGTAACTTGTGTCAATTACGTGGTTTAAAGGATTGCACCAGTATGCATGAAATGCACTAACCTGGCAGACGTCTTGATCAGCAGGATCATCTGAAGTTGTTGATAGTTGTTCGATGAATGGGTTTATGTGATCATGAGGTAATGGGGGAGGAGGTATCCTTTCCATATTACTTTGTTTTGTGTTGTTCTTTCTGTGAAGAGAGAAGGTAGAAAGAATGAAAAATACTCTTTGGTGCTCTCTTTAAATGCTTCTAGCTGTGCATCTTCTTATCTAGAGAATCAGTAACTGAAGCTGCAGCCTTTAGATTTTGTGTTTACCTACAATAATTTATTTGGCTCCAAGATCTACTTCTTAGTGAATCATTAATCCAATTTCCTGGTATGTACTTGAGGAAGCCACCACATCTGATTCTGAGGAAGCACACTGTTACAATTGAGATTTAAAAAATTTAGTTTAGGTGGCTTTTTTGCTGTGGGTTTTTTGGCAGTTGTTATGGGGGGGCGGGGGGAGTGTTGTTTTTTGTTTTGGCCCTGGAAAAAGCGCTGCTGACAGATGTAGCATTTGTTTTGGAAGCGAAGTCTGATTTGAAGAATATCAGGCAGTTAGCTGACTGTCTTCCTACAGGCTGTAGTGACAGCGAATCTAGATAGTTTGACATGGTCACAGTGAGTATCTGCATGTAAGTTTGTAAGGGTGAAAATAGCGACTGGACAGTTGCATAATAAAGCAGAAGACATTAAAATACAAACTGTTTTGTAAAATGGTTGTGGGTGGGATGGGAGGTTGAGTTTAAGAAATGCAGTCTTCTCTGTGGCCCTTAAGTCACTGAGGATCTTTAGAACAGAAATATAAGAAAATGTTGAGGATCCAGAAAGAAATTTTAGTATTTTCTCTCTTAAGCAGTATTTAAATTAATTTCCATAGCAACAGTGGAGCTAAGATCAGAATGCATAGGTTGCTTAAAGACTAGTACAGAACTGAGAGATTTTAGTACTTTGCATAATAGAGGTATCTGTTTTCTCTTGTTAAAGATGATGTACTAAGAACGTTACCTATTTAATTTTCTCATATTGAAGAGTGGATATAAGTTGTTTATGCAGAACAACTGAGTCTGTCTGATACAGACTAAGGCACAGCTTGCTAATTTTTTCCTTATAGTGGGAAGTAGAGGAGGAAAATTATTTTAAATCTCCCTTTGTGACCTCTTGGAGCTTTGAAACTCTTAATCCTTGCCTGTAGTCTTGTTGATGTAAATCTTATTAGGTACTTTTTCAGTATCGTCCTTAAACTCTTGCAGATTATTGTGATTCCCTTAGTCTTTCCTTTTGAAGCACTGTAGAAGATATAACTAGGTGATCTATGTTGCATCTGAAGATGAGCTGTAATTGCCTGCCAGTGACAGACGTAGTATGCAGCTGCTAACAGGTAATCTCTCTTTAGCTGCAGTTTGCAGTTACTTTGAGGAAGTTTGAAACACGTTAGAATTTACGCTGTCACCTCTGTCACTCCAGTTTTTAAGTTATGTGTTTGTGCTTGTGGCCCCTAAAGGGCTTAAATAGTTCCAAAAGGACTTAACCAACATGAAATGATACAATGTTTGCTTCTGGCAACTTAATACAGGTTCATTGTCATGACTGGTATTAGTAGAAACTCTGTGGACGGTGTCATAAGATGCTTCAGTTGAATAGATAAGGACGCTAAGCCAACTTTTGCATTGTATGGGAGTCATTGAGTCCTTGGTATTTTTGGCACCTCCCAACGCTTCTAGCTTATGCAGTGTCTGGGTTTTGGTTTGTTGGGTTTTTTTTGTTTTGTTTTGCTTCCAAAGTTCTTGTTGTTCAAGAATTGATCTTTCAAATGCAAAAAAGTACGGAAAACACAGTATCCTCATGAAGGATTGACTGAGGAGGGTGAATTCTTTGTCTTTTTATTGAAGGATGTTTTCTAAATCTGAACGATATCACATTAAGTATTTTTCTGTATGACTGATCACTTTTACTAGGTAGGGAAGGGGAAATAATTCCCAGAGAAATTGGTAATTGTTGCAGGGGATGAGATGTAAAGGGAAGAATTAAGGAGGCTATCAAACAATGAAGAGTACAGAAATAGAGGCGTGGTAATTAAAAAGCATGTTAGTGGCTCTAAAAGGAAATTTTTTTTTTTTTTAAATAGTGAACAGTGGATTTCAAATGTAAAAATAAAAGCCCCAAATAAAATTTGATGATATTTAAGTGCACATACATCCTTTTATTTCAGTTAAAGTCATGTAGCTAAATCAGCAGATAGTCAGCTTAATAAGGGTAACCTGTAATGCAGATGTGATTACATGGCCCATGTGTCAGAGCCAGGCTTTGAATTTGGCCTTCATTGGTAAGTTTGGTAGGCCTGTCATCCCAATAGGTGACATTCTCCATGTGTCCCTTGTCCTTTTTATTGAGGTAAAGGGCAAAGGTAGTGTAGCTGTAATGTGTGTTAGTAAGGAGTCTCTCGGGTTCCATTTCTAGTGGATTTGTTGTCTTGCAGTGTGGGGAGAACATCCTTTGAAAAGAACTTCAGCTGAAGAATTTAACTGGGGGGGAAAAAAAAAAAGCAAGTCTGGACATAGGCGGAGTAAGAAATAAATTGAGGAAAACATTGTGAAAACAGTCAGGAGGAGAAATTCTGCAAATAAATGTGAAATGTAACATTTTGGTAGGGGAACTTGCTATGCATTTTTTCTTTAAGGATTTTGCACATTTTTTGTGAAGTTACAGATACATATACTGTACTGTTCTGTAGTGATTTTTATAGCTGAGCTTCCTATAAATGCTGTACACTATAAAATGTGAGGAAATCCTAACCTGCTCTTTGTTTGCTTGTTTTCCTAGTTTTTCTCTTGTGTGCATTATCATGCAAGAAAAAAACCCTTCTGTCTTTACTTTTATTGGATTGTTTTGAACTGTTCTATTATACATCTTGTTTTATATGGATTAAGTTGTATGCAAGGAAAACAGGATAACAATGAGGAAGAAAAAGTAGGAAGAAAAATAATTTGTCTTGCATATATCTATGTGCATGTATTGTGTGAGTAAGTATGTGCATAGATAGGTTTTGACTGGAAATCTTTGGTCATTCTATTGAACTGAGAGTGTTTTAGTAATAATGTGTAGGAGTAGAATTTGGAATATTCACTACTGAGAAGTATGTAGCTATTATTTTAGCGGGGAAATCACAGTCATTTATATCAATACTTTAATATATTTATGCTAATTAGTTTTTAGTGTATCGGTATCTTACAAAAATCTGAAAGGGGAGGAGGGTAGCTTTGAAAATACAGTAAAACACTGAGAACTCAGTAAGCTCGTTGTTAGAACGTAGACACTTATACAGTTTTAAAGAATTTTTTTTAAGTTGTTTTATAAAATAGTTTCTTGCACTTTACCTGCTGGCTTTTCAATTCGGTAGATAACATCTGAACTCCAGCAGAGTTTTATAATCCCCACGTGCTTAAATATACTAAATGTTCTTTTTCCATTAAGGTTAATGTTCGTGAAGAAATTGAAGAGTTTTTTCCAAGAATGTGGAAGATAAATCAAGATAAAAGAAGGCTAATGAAAAGTATTAAAGATCAGAAAATTAAAATTGAATGGGGGAAAAAATTGAACAGAAGATTGGTCAGATAGAAGCACTTGAATGTTTTTTTAAGGCTATAATGAATTGTTTGAATTGGGGAAGAATACACGAAGTATGAAAAATGAAAAACTCAATGAAGAATGAAGAAAAGTAGAAAGCAAGAGTGAAGTAGAATTAAAAGAATCTGGAAGAATGAATGGGTCCTAGGTTAAGTAAATGTATGGTTTATGTTCCAGTGTCTGTATGATCAAGTTGTAGATGAATTTGCATGATTACTTAGTTAATAGAGAATTGGTGATCTGGTTCAAGCAGGGACCTATTTGAGGAAAGCATACAATATTAACAGTGGGTTAGCAAAATGAAATTTGCTTTGGAGGGTATTGCCTAACCATTTGTTTTTCAGGCACAATCAATATAATAGAATTACTGTACTTTAAATGTTAGGAGTTAGGCATTTATACAACCAATACCATTTTTAATACTGTCTTTTTTGTTAGGAGTCTCGCTCCCAGTCAAAATCTCCAGCTGGGAGTCCTGCTCGAGTAAAATCAGAGAGCAGGTCAGGATCTCGCAGTCCATCGAGGGCTTCCAAACATTCTGAATCGCACTCTAGGTCAAGATCAAAATCAAGGTATGTCCAGGAAGTTATTCATGTTAATTCAGTGTTACTGCTTATGCTTGTTCTTTTGGTACGTTGATGAGATGATTTTTTTTCCCCCCCCTTGTTACAAAAACTATAAACCTGCTGGTGTGTGTTAACAAGACTGTTAATTTGCATGTTAGTGTTTATATAGGTGGACAAAGTTGGGGAAAGATACCAAGAGTAGTAAAGCATGGGTGTATAGATAGAGAAAGTAATATAAATAGAAATAATGTAGAAATCACAACTAAAATTTGTAGATTTATCTTTTCTAGAAGAGAGAGAAGGGATTGCATCTCAATTCAGAAAGGGTGACGTCTCAATTCTGTAAGAGCTATGCCTCCTTCCCACAAAATCTTTTTGCGAGGGGAACCCTTCTGTAGACTCCTGCTTTAGGGAAAAAAGAAAAGTCAATTGAGAACTGCAGCAAAGGTAGTCGGAGTTAGATAAAAGGAGTAAGCTCTGTAACTGCTGGAAATGTTGACAGATGTTACTTGAGGAAGTTCTTGACATGTCTTCATTAAAGGCTTTAAAATAGAAGCTTTAAAAACAAAATCCAAAAACTGTGGCTTAAATTTGGCCTGCTGCTTGATTTATGGGAGCTTTAAGATTTAAAGTCATTTTTCAGTCCTGCACACATACTTCTCTGTCTTTTTCTACCCCAGGTGTTTGTGTGTAGAGGCAAAGTTTTGTAGTTCTCAGTTCTGAGGGAACTTTCTTAGAATAGAGGAGGAATGTCATAAAATATTACCTACCTATCTTCTTCTCTCTTCCTTTGAACCATTGTACTGGTGAAAATTTGGAGTACTACTGAATCCTTCTTTTATCTGTGGAGAGAGAAACCAGAAAACAGCATTTGTAGCCCTGGAAGGGGAAGAGGAATTGAATTGCATAGTATTATGTTGTTCCTCCTCCCCAGCTCTTGGGAGAGATCAGTAATCAGTGTTCCCTATTTATATGCTTCATACTAGCACAGCTGGAGAAGAGTTACTGTGCTCTGAATTCCCAAAGTTCAACCCAGTGTTACAGCTTCTCTTGCAACATTTAGCCAGATAACTGTTAGGATATAATGCCTGTATGAAATCATGCAACTTTGATGGGATGATGCTTGTTCAAAACTGAGCTTATCATTGGCTAGATGTCTGCAAAGAAATGCTTGAGGAGTCATGTAGGCTTTTTTTTGGTCTTGAATAATTTTCAAGCCTAGGTCAACTTTATTTGTAGATACTACAGCACTGTAGTGCTGTCAGGTCTTTCCATTTCTCAGACAAGGCAGTATTTTTATGGTGTGGCCTATCTGGTTTCTAATTGTGCAAGTGTTAGTTACATGTGCAACCTAGGTTTAAACTTTGAACTTCCTGAGAACTGTCTTGAATGTAATCCTCATTGTATGCCAAAAGTTAAAAATCATAGAATCATAGAATGGTTTGGGTTGGAAGGGCCCTTAAAGATCATCCAGTTCCACCCCCCCTGCCATCAGCAGGGACACCTTCCACTAGACCAGGTTGCTCAAAGCCTCATCCAGCCTGGCCTTAAACACTTCCAGGGAGGGGGCATCCACAACTTCCTTGGGCAACCTGTTCCAGTGTCTGACCACCCTCCCAGTGAAGAACTTCTTCCTAATACCTAATCTAAACCTGCGCTCTTTTAGTCTAAACCCATTTCCCCTTGTTTTGTCATTAAGTGCCCAAGCAGATTATTAGAGATCTGTACAATCTTCAGATGTGCAAAGTAGAGGAAACTTAACAATTTTAAAGGTAGAGAGCCGCGGGGGGAAGAAAGCATTTTCTCTAGGAAATGTAAGGCTTACAATTCAATACATTATGTGCATATGACCTAACTAAAAGCTTTCTCTTTGTTGAAGATCCAGGTCCAGAAGGCATTCGCACAGACGTTACACTCGTTCCAGATCCCATTCCCATTCTCATTCCCATAGGAGACGTTCTCGAAGCAGATCATACACCCCAGAATACCGTCGTCGAAGGAGCCGTAGTCATTCTCCAATGTCCAACAGGAGAAGGCACACCGGCAGCAGAGTATGTCACATTCATCCAGGCTGAGTATCAGCAAAAGAGTTGCTGCTTACGTCAGTGTAGTGCAGGATACCTGCAGGCTGAGTTTGACCTGCTGTGTTGTCAGTGAAAAGTTATGGGAATTTGGGAGGGGGATGTAGAGCAAACTCTGTCCTTACAGCTGGGTGCTTATTTTTTGGGCCTGCAACCGTCAGGGCAGCTGTAGAAATTTATTGAAAATCCATACCATTACAAGTCAGTATATGCAGATAGAATGACATCTGTTTTCCTCTGCTCTAGAAATCAAATACTTCTGGATTTTTTTTAATAGTTCCAAGTATATATACCCTTCACAAAAACGAGACCTTTTCTGTACATGCTTGCTTAAAAAACAACAACAACAACAACAACAAAAACCCACAACCCAAAAGTATTGATAAGATTGACTTAGAGGAGCCAAAGTAGAAAATTCCCAAGTCTGTCTCTTTATAACATACAGTATATTATGCTGAAGGTTTCCTGTGATTTTACACCTCTGAGTAATGAATTTGGTTTAACTTGAAGAAATAAACCCATGTGTTACTGGCTAATGTGTAAATCTTAATAGACTAGAAAAAAATTACAGTTATGAAAAGGATCAGTAAGCCTCTCAGTTTAAATGGGAAGCAACTCAGTACCTCTGTATGGACAGGAGGAAGTATAGGTACATCAACCAAGATCTAAGATAATGATCATATGTCATTCTGAGAGATTTCTCCCAATGGCTGCCTCTATAATCCATTTCAGTGCCTTAGCTTCTGGTTCCACGTTGCTTCAGGCTGATCTAAATGAGCACTGTTGCACACAGGTCTGCCTCTTCCATGATGAAGACCATGTTACTTTTCTGATCCTTTGAATTTTAAGTTGCTCCAGATTTTTCACTAATCCTATCAAGGAGAGTGTAGGGTTTTTTTCCAGGTTTACCTTGGTGAAGCAGCTCTCCAGGACCAGATAATCCCAGTGTGAGGGAGAAGACAAGAGGGTGTGGAAAAGGGCAAGACTACAGTACAGTACAGCTAACGTACAGTGGCTTAAGCAGTTGTGAAGCAGTGTTCATAGTTAGGCTTTTTATGGATTGTTGCCAGTGTTTACTCATGAAGTAGTAAATATGAATCTAATATCTTGAAAAATTGGATAACTGAGCTTCAGAAAGGTTAGCAGATTTCTGGTGAAAGATGAATGAATCCACTTTAGTGCTTCAGGAAATATTAGAATGTTTTGCTCTTTGAAGAAGTCTGCCTTGGAAATGGCTCTGTGAAACAAAAAACTTGTTTTCACAGTGAATTTCACATTATTTCTGAGGAGTAGTTGTAGTAGTGTCAAAACAAAACTCAGATCAACCAGATGTGAATCTCTTAAATAACAAGGTTCCTAAAGACACCAGGAAAATGGGTAGCAATTTTGCCACTTCTGACCTTGTAGAGAGAGCTTGCATACTGTGCTGATAGGAGGCAGTACAAAAATCTAATGCAAAAGCTGTCTTTTAGTCATCCACAGTCAGTTTCGTCCTTCCAGTAATGATGTAACTGTCACTTGGGGTGCACAGACTGTTTCTCAGTACTTCTCTTGCCTCAGAAAAGGTAATAGAGTTTAAGTGTAAGGGGAATGTTTAAAAAAAAGGACGATACTGATATGTACCGTGTGGAGGGACTTGACCAAACAACAGTTTAAAAGACAGCGAGATTTCATTGGGCTCACAAGAGTTTCAGTAATAAAAGTATAGCTGTTAACCTGTCTGATAACTCAGTGGCACTGAAATGGAGTAAAAAAGAAACCTAAACCTGTATGATTAAAACTTTCAAATTACAAACTGCCAGTTTTTCTTCTGTTCATCTATAATAAGGAATTGTAGAAGATTCATGTCTTAAAACAAAAGCTTGAACTTTGACAAATGAGAAGAAATAAACTTGAAATGTATGAGTAGTTTAGGCATCTTATTTTCACAATGGCTTCTTGAACAAAAGCTCTGAAGAGAACACGACAGAAGATCTAAACATGTTCACTCTTTGAGTCAGGTTGAAAGGCAAGTTCTGAGGTGTAAATTGCTGTGTTATCAATGGCTTTGAAAATCTGAAACTGAAATACAAATTTCAACTGTGTCAACTTCCTGTTATTATTTTAGCAGAAACGTTAAATCCCTGTGCCTGTTGCTGCCATTTTGAATTGCTGTGTTTAGTATAACAGGTGCCAGAAGCTTAACTGAAAAAAAAAATACTAATTTTGATAAAAATAATTCTTAAACTGGAACTGGCATTAGATTAACTGCCTGACATGTAGAGAAACTTTGAACCTAATAGTGAAATTAATTGCAGTACCTTGTACGATTTCATATTTGACTTCCTTTAGTTGAAGTGGAATGTATTAAGTAGATCTGTATCCCACATCATGTTAAAGAATCGGGAGTCTCGCTCTAGAAAAGTGTGCTTGCTTTTGGTTTACAGTTTTGCAGAACTGGCCTTCAACACTTGTTATTATCTAGATGCAAGAAGCTGGTGATTTTCATCGAGCTTACAAGTGGACAGAGATAAACTTTCAAATGTAAATATTGACTTTCAGTATAGTTGGATAGGAAATGTTGAGAGGGGAGGAAGTTTTGTTAGAAGCTAAATCATAGTTCAGCTGTCCATGCTTAGAAGCTCAAATGCATTTAGTGTGTGCAACTGGAGGCAGCATGCCATCTTCATACCAGTAGTGACCGTGGGTTGAAGGGCTGAAGGTGAGAGTTCAGGCTGCCTGACCTGTTCTTAGCACAGACTTGCATATCATCTCTGCAGCTTGTTGGTGATTCAAGTGTGCAATACTGATAAAATAGGTTCCTGTTATTCTATAGCTTCTCTGTAATTAGAATGCTTAATTTTTCTCAACATGAGAAATTAATCTTTGTCTTTTTTTCTAAAATAAAAGTCACAAAAGTAGTTGCTTTTTGAAAATACCTTAGAGTGGAATTATAATTATTGAAGTATAAAGCTTTGTAATAAACTGAGTTTAGTTTTCTTTAGATCCAAAATTTTTACCAATTGATAATTTTTTATATAAAAATGTATAACTTGTTTTTCATAAACTTAATTGGAGTTGAACATTTGTCTTACCAGGCTAATCCAGATCCTAATACGTGTCTTGGAGTGTTTGGTCTCAGTTTGTACACTACCGAGAGAGATTTGCGTGAAGTCTTTTCCCGTTATGGACCTTTGACTGGTGTCAATGTTGTTTATGATCAGCGGACTGGGCGATCGAGAGGATTTGCTTTCGTTTATTTTGAGAGAATTGACGATTCTAAAGAGGTAAATTCATGCTTTACTACATTTAACAGACGTATTCCTTGTGCATTATCTTAATGGATATCTCTGAAAAACAACCACCTACCCCCGTACCCCCGTAAAAACCCCACAGGTGTGTGCTAGTACTTGTTCACCAGCACGTTCACACAGTGAGATTAATTTAAAATTTTGTTCAAAAAACATGGCATTTTTAAACTGATGAAGCATTTTAGTTCACTGTTCAGATGCTTGGGCAAATTTTGAGTATGAGCTGCCTGTATTGAATCACTGATGAGCATTGTTCTTTGATTTTAGTCTTTTACTTCAAAGTGGAAGTACATCTTTTGACAGACATAGTAGCTTCCTAGTATTTTTGAAATACTTTGAAAGTTAACTTTTCAAAGTAGTTTTCCATATCAGAATTCTGAACATTCTCTTCACTTTCCATTTCCTTCTCTAAAAGCATGTCATCATGCATTTGAAAAATAGCATGGCTTGTCTTGAGTGCTGGTTATATAGATAGATGTTTACAGCTGGACTGAGTTGTTGTTGTATAATTGATGTATAAGGAAAGAATCAAATAGTATAAACAGCAGCCTGTGTTATGGTCGACCACAGTAAGCAGTGCTTTTTTTAACCTCTGTAAGGATGCTGTGAGCTTTACTACATTTACTGGAATTTGTAAATGAAGTTGCTGTTAAAGATGCATCCTTTTTAAAAAAAGTTCTTTTTTCTTTAAGCCTTCGCTGTGGGGTTATCTCTTTTGGGCAAACTGAGTCACAGACTTCAAGCATCCTGTTTATGGATTATTAGTCTTGGGCAGATGTTTCAGATTTGCTGTTTGATTCTGTTTATTTTAGATAAGTATATTCATAATGCTTGGATATGATTCTTCTCACTTAGCGTTGAAGGGGGGGAGGGTGACAGGTGTGTAACTTAGCTGAAAAATTAAAATTCAGATGCTAATTGATATTTTAATGAGAAAAAATGTTTCATGGATGATTTGGTTGGACTAGACTCAGTTCTGATCTTTGATTTCTGGTGTGATGCAACAGAGGATAGCTTTATGGGAAGCGATTGGTTTTGTAGATGTATGTGTATGTGGTTGTTGCAGGTTATAGGGGTAAGTAAAAGGACACAAAACTTCCTTTAGTGTCATTTTTGTATATCCCTCTTTGTATAGCTGTATATCCCTCTTTAGTGGCCTACTTTCTTCTAACGTTTAGCCTTGTATTTCTTTGCACTCTTGAGTTTGGTGAGATTTTGAAAGTGTGACTGTTTTGTAGGACATTTAACATGCAAAATACTTGCACAGTATTTCTTGTCACATTCTTGTTCCAGTATTGTCTATTTTACAACTTCATATGCCTTTACAAGTAGGATTTTTTTTCCTAGTTGCCATGGGTAATGGTCATGCATGACACCAGTTATTTCTTAAAATTTTCCGTGTAAATAGCATGAAGTAATTTGTTTAGTATAAAGCTGTTTTGGCAGATACTACAAAACTGGAATGCAAAGGGGGGCGGGAAAAGAGGAGATTGTTTGCAGTCAGAAATAGAGAAATAAAGATGAGCACCCTAAGCAGGAACTGAAATAATTGGGAATGTAATTAAATGCATTTTTTTTCCTCCACCGTGGGCTGGTGTGTGAAGAGGAGGAAAAGATGCAAAACCTCACAACACTTGGAATTTACATAACTGAAATGCTTTGGCAAAGAGGACAGGAGAAAAACTTGTTTATTTGACTTGATTTCATGGGCATTGAAAACAGATTTGAAGATGGCAGTAAGTGGCAGCTAATGTAAAAGAAGGAAATACAGCTATAGGCATGAAACTCTGTGACAGGCCCTGTAGAAGAACCCTGGAGGACTTAAAGTAGTTCTCTTTGTGGAAGATAAAGCAAATCTGAAGAGTTGAGTACGCATAAAAGCAATGACACTTAAATTACTCCTGAGTAAATACCTTTTATCTTAAAAAACCCAACAACAACAAAAAAACCTCAAACAAAACCCCCGACACCCTAAGCTTTCGGATAAAGAGAGTATAAAACTCTAGATGAGATACTGAACCAAATTCCAGCCCTCTTAAAGTGATCATGGATCTGTTAAAAAACCCGAGGATTTCCCATTGTCTTCACTATTGTCCTTCCAAGAGAGCTAACACCGGGAAGCCTCTTGGCTGACATGCTCTCAAACACTGTTAATATTAAAGTTCAGCACCAAATGATCTGTGAGTGGTTGTGTTTAAACTTCAGTAACTTGGTCTAAGATAGGTTGGTATCAGTATTGTGTGGATTCTGTTGCTGTTGAAATCCCTCAGGATCTCTGTCATCGCTGGTTACCATTCTTAAAAATCGGATCTGTTATTGAGCTAGTTAAAAATGGTATGTGTCAGGATTTTGAAACGGAGTGATGCAATGTTCCTAGCTCTGTATGATGGTAGAGATACTTGGAATTGTCAGCTGGCTCAGTGTGGTGGAAATCCATAGACAATGTAAAATGGCATTTTTTAAGGGGGATACTTTGCAGTGTCCTAAAAATAAGGAAAGAGCAGCAGTAAAGTTTTTTTTCATTTGAGCTGTTTTAGACTTTCAGAACTTCAGATTGATTATGATGCCATAGCAGCCTTGTCGCTAGCTGTTTATTATCGTTTTGGTTATAAAGAGGAGCAGAGACTTAGCTTTTGATAACTACTAGGAAGAGTAGGTGTCGGCATCACAGTAGCTTCAAGTCATTCCACCTGTTAAGATCTTTTGTTGCAGTGGTCTAGCGTTTGCAAGATAGCACGTGACTAGATTGTTATGTTCTGACCCATATTAAAGATGCTCATGGACGCTATCTTCGGTTCAGAACATGATGGCAGCCAGTAAATGTTGAGGAATGACTGTTGTTTGTCCAGAAAACCTGAGCTTTTGCTGTGCTAATGTTCTTTCTGGTGTGCTTGTTCAAAGCCTATTTGAGAAGCTTATGTATTATCTACCTTTTTGTAGAAGGAAGGATACTCTCTTATGGATGTTGTCTTTCATTTTTTGTGAACTTATGTTGGTTTTTTGGTATTGCTTTTTTGCCTTGTGTGTTGCAGCGCCTTGTCTTATGTTGGCCACCCTTCTGCTAAGTCTTCAGAACCACATGTGCAACATTATGCAAAGGGCACCATCTGTAAACAGCTGTTGAAGACCCGTTCATTAAGACTGGCATTCTTTCTTATACAGATCTCAGTATGGGCAATGCTGGCAGAACCAGCATTATAATATTGCAGTTTTGCAGTATTTTCACTAAATTGTAGAGGATATTCACCTGCTCATCACATTAGGATTTTCTTCCTGTGTTTAGAGGAACACAGACTTTTATGTACTGGGATGGGGGGGATTGATTATCTGAGGGTTACCAATAAATTGAGAGGGTTATGAGTAAAAAGTGCTGGCTGTTCTAGGGAGATGATTCTTACTACATTTACCAGGGGTTTCACATGCTACTCTCCAGCTTTTCAGTAACGCAGAATATGAAGTATTAGTTGCTTTTTGAATTGAGGCTACTGTGAATGTACTACGTGTCTGTAGCAGGAACTCATCTGAGAAGCATTAGCCACAGCAGCTGTTGGCAATTCGGAATTTTCTGTTTCCTAATGCTAGTTACATGGTCTTTATAGTTTTGACCATCTTTCAGATCCATTTTCTGAGGTAGTGTTCGTTAGCAATCAAGACAAATTTTATGCAGGCAAATTGAACTATTAACATAATTCAGTTGCCAAAAACCAGAATAACAACGGGGTTTTTAATTTAAATTTGCAAGGCATTAATCTGTGGTGCTAGCAGACTAGCTCAAAAGCATCATTATTGAACAAAATTTCTCCCATAGCTTGTTAAAGAAATACTTTAAATATTGTTTGTGGTATCAAGAGGGACCCTTGATATACCAGAAAAGAACATGAGAAGGTCTCAAATGTTTGGAATTACAAGTTACAGACTTCTGCAGACTCTGAAATACCGTGAAATTGCTAATACTTGTGGAAATGTATCTAATTACTCATTCTGGTTCTCTAAAATGCTGTATTTCTTGACTCTGAAAGTATACTTTAAAGAGAGTACATATAATCAATAGATTTTTAAACTTAGAAAATTTTATGTACAAAAAGATACTTAACAGTATTTTAATAATATTTTTTTAAAAAAGCCGCAAACTGAAGAATATAAATTGACTCTTGTTTGAAGGTGAAATGGACACTTGAATTCAACTTGGCAGACTGCAGTAAGTGTAAAAACCTGGGCTTCTTTCTTTTATCATCCCATCATATTTTTAATTATTTTTTTTTTCTTTCCAGAATGTCCTTTCAGATGTCCTTGTTACATCCACACCTGAGCTAGTGATATCAGTATACTGGGGGGAGGGAGTTCTAACCTGTTATGTCTGTTCATCCCATGCTATACCTGGGATGCAGTGGAGGTGTTGTTTTTATTGATGACATTAAGTACAATATGAGAAGACAATATGAGAAGAAATTCAGGTAAAAAACAAAAAAGAAACTGTCAAAAACCACAACAAACAAAAAAGATGGTATCTTGTATAGATATTTTTAAATCATAAAAATACATTTTCAAAGTAAGTCCCAACATAAATTGCTCACATTTGACTGCTCAAGTGTGTTCAGTCTGTACTTCACTAACTTTGTAGAGATACCACATTACTAAAGTAATTGAAAGCAGCTAGATGCAGTTGAAATGAAGATTTGATGATCTTTTGTACAATGCAAGTCTTGAACTCCATGGTAGAAATGTGACATCAGCTCTACCAAGTCAAGTTCTCTCCCTCCCTGCTTCTTCTCCACGCCCTTCACCCAGTGACCACAGTACAGGTTGCAGAAATTTCCCACATTGTTTCCTTGTCCAAGTTGCCCTTTGTGGCATTATCCAGACTGAAAGATTATTTAATTTTTTTTAAAGTTAATTCTTGATTGCTTAACTAATGCCAGTTACCTGTGTAAGTTTGTGCGTACAATTAGAAGTTCAGCGTTTCCAAACGTGTTTTACTCTACCTTAATGCTAATATGTGTAGAAAGCACCACATAATGTAATTAACATCAAATTAAATTGAAATCCATTAAATTTAATGCTTGCTTTCTGTGTGTTTTGAGCCACTGGGGGCTGTGATCCTGTAGTGTGGGAACTGCTCAGTTTGTCAAGCTGACACACTAACAGATAATATTTTGTGGGAGTTTTGTTATTATGGATAGACTGCTGCAGGTTTAAAACTGAAATCTAAGGCTGAATTATTACCTGTGCCATTCTCAATTTGCACTCTCTGTTTTCTGACTGCAAACATGTAGATGTGTATTCTGGCCTACAAAGTCAATTTTTCCTTGTAATTTGCAACCAAAACTGATAGTACATGTTTGTAGGAATCCTGTTTGCTTGCTTGCTTACTGTCATCTTGCAAAAGTCATGCAAGTCTCTTAACAAAGTTCAGACACTTGGAAGAAAATCCAAGTTGAAATAAAAATGGACTGTTGACAGTTAAAGGCTCCTAAGAGGGTATTGTGTGTCTTAAACCCCAATGCAATTTGATTTTCCTCTTCAAAATGTTTCATTTGATGGTCTGGAAAATACAATTCTATCTTGTAAACAGTATTTGAGGATGTCCACTGCATTGTTAGAGTGAATGTGCAATTTTTTTCCCTGTGACATTTAAATGTTCTTAACACAGTATTCACGCGTACTCAAAAAAGAAGAAAAACAGCAAGAAAAACAAACTTAAATTTGTTTTGAATATGACATACAAGTCTAATAAAATTATAAAATCCAGAGTTTTATTATAAACTTTTAAATTTAAAGAAAATAAAAAATGTCAGCTATTAGAATCACTAATATGTTTTTACAGCCTTTGCACAAAACGATACTGTTGTATCACCTATCTGAAACCAGGTTTTCAAACAGGTCCTATTGCATCAGTGATTAGCTAATAATACCAGAAGAAGTACTTTGTTTCAAAGCGATGTGCATGTTAAGAATGGTGCAAAGAATTTTAAAACATCTTTGGAAGGAATTTCCAGTTGCTAATGGCTGAATATGAGTGTTACTATCAATTACTGTTAGATTTGTAATGGCTTATTGTAGAGTTTGGCTTTTCTGCATTTGGGGGATGTGGTCAGAACTGTAAAAGGCTTTGTTATGTCTGTACATCTACTAAAGATTGTTACTATTTTAAATTTTTTTTGTTGGCAGTTACTGCTGACAACTCTTGAAAGCTAAGAAAATTAAAATGTTAATATTGGGTAGGTCATTAGATGTTATGACCAGGATGTCAGAGTTTCATGCACACTGGTAACTGTGAACTAATCTTTATCCACCGAAATGTAACACATTTGATACTTACAAAACAAATGATCAAGTCTCAAAGTTAACTATTCATTTGTTTTGCTGGTATGTTCCTCTTCTCTATGCTGCTCCTTATGTCAAAGAACTCTTCCTCTTAAAGCGGCGTTTGTTCTTTTAACTAAATAAAACATAAATACCAGATGCTCTGGAGTTGAGGTGGCTTCTTGTCAGCTAAGCTTACTACTCTGCAAGTTGTTGGTCGAACATAAAAATGCCACAAAGCAGAAAATTCCTTGCTTTTTGAGACACCTTGCATATTGCTGCATTACCAGAAAGACACTTTTCATCACAAAGGTAGTTTTTCAGCCATCTATTTGCAACCTTAATTTTTAAGCTTTTGCACACATACATTCCTAGGACGTGTGCCCAGATGTATTTTAATTTAGTTCATCCTTGTGGAACACGACTTTAAAAAAAAAAAATTAAAAAGTCTCAAGGCTAGGAAACTAAAGCTAACAATCATATTTTGTTCACAAAACATACTTTAGTGTATATTGAAAGACTTGAAATGCTCTTTGGTTCTGCTTTGCAGTTAGCTAAATACAGTTGTGTTTTTGTATGAGAATAGAGTTCACTAGGTGGCGATATAGTATAGATGTTAACAACATTATTAAAACACAAACTAAGTGTAATTAAATAGGTTAGTGATAATTCACTCTTTTCCAGATTGGGAACATCACAGTTAAATCACGTGGGTGTCAGGTTTTTGTTTCCTCCTGTATAACTTGTATGTTAATTCAGTAAGGTTCCTGTTAGAGAGGTGCAAAAAGTTATGTTTCTGAATAGTGATTTGTTTCATTATTTTAAAAAAAGAAGGGAAAAAAATGCTCTGCTTAGAGGCACCTTCATGTTTTGAGGTTGTGTCTTGTTCATCACAGTTTAATAACAGCAAAGTGGTTTTGTTCTTTAATTTGAGATTTAAGTGTCTCTTCTCCACATGTGAAAAACGGAAAGGATGTATATTGAGATAAGCGCTGAGCTTAGTGTCATGAGCTAAGTGGTGTGTACTGGTATTTCAGAGATCCTAGAGCAGGTGATGAAAGGATAAAAAAAAATTTGCTTTGCAAATTTTAATAGCTTTTAAGTCCAACATTAACCATTTGTTTAAATTTTTGTGTGTGCTTTTTTTTTTTTTTTGAAGTTACTATTGCATGGTTATAATTCTCAAAAGTACGCTGTGCTGCTTTGAAAACTGTTTTCGTTATTTTGAGTTTGCGAAAGGCCATTGTATTGATTGTCAAAGAGTAGAGAGGCAGGGGCTGGAACACCCAGCGAGCGTGTGCACGGGCTGTGAGCGGGTCTGGAGGCAGAGGTTTCTCAAGCACAGACCCTTCTGTGTATCGCTTTAGCGAGCTGCTATTGTGCGAGTGAGTGGGGAGGAAGGTTGTAATTAGGTATCCATGTAGGCTGAACCCGCCATTTTACTGAGCTCTGCTGGAGTAGGTCCTTGTAAGGGAGATGGCAGGAGGCTGGGAGAGCATGAAATGGCAGCCGCCTAGCAGTAATCCGGCCATATGCACCCTACAGGAAGCCACTGTTTTGCACAGCTTTTGAATCCGCCCGTCCCCTCTGGGTCAGGCAGCAGTAGGAAAGATGCAGTTTTCAGAAAAAGCTGTTTTGACTTTCAGTTTACCTTTCTGATGGGCAGAAGACAAAGTCTAGGGAAAGTGACTGTGTTAGTGGTTAGCACTGTGCTCTCTTACGAAAGGATTGCGTGTCACGTTACACCGGCACCCCAGTGCGGTCTCGTAACACTGCCGGCTCACGGGCCGGGGGACAGGGATGAGCCATTCGCCACGGTGGGGCACTAGTAACCACTCTAAATAAAACAACTTGAGGGCTTGTCTTTCTGATGGAAAATAATGTGTTTTGTACGTAGCCTTCCATAGTTCCCAGTAGGTTGCAGGTTTCACGTCCCTGTTTCTTGTCTCTCCTGCAGGCAATGGAGCATGCAAACGGCATGGAGCTGGATGGCAGGAGGATTCGGGTAGATTACTCAATCACCAAGAGAGCACATACACCCACCCCGGGCATCTACATGGGCAGGCCAACACAGTAAGGAGCTCACCCATTTCCTGTAATGGCATTAAAATAGATTTAAACTGAATGTTTGGTTGGAGAAATAGAGCTACAGATACGGGGGGTTTTTTTAAGTTTTAAGAGTTATGTCAATTGTATTTTATCACTAAGTTATTAATACAAATTGTGTGTTACTGTGGTTCATATGTACCATTAAATCCTACTGTAGTTTATTGTATCTTTATTTATGAAAAAATACTGAAGGAGTTATTTAAAAAAAATATATCCAGCATGATCAGTTAATGCACTCTTAGCTTACTGAAATACTAAGGTGCCCATTTGTCTTTGATTTCGATGGGAACTAGGCTCAAATCCCTGGTAGGTTTTCTGGAGTTTTTTGAAAGTGTTTAAATATTTCATTGTTAGATTGTTTTGGGCCATAGTCTTAAGTGTCTTATTTACAAAAACACTTAAAAAACCTGTTTAAGTAATTTAAATCAAGATGAAGAGTAGATATCGAAAATTTTGGGTTTTTTTTTCTTTTTCTCTAACAGCAGTGGAGGAGGTGGTGGCGGTGGAGCAGGTCGTCGCCGTGACTCATATTATGATAGGGGGTATGACAGAGGATATGACAGATACGAAGAATATGACTACAGATACAGGTACCTAATCTTCATTTTATTTCTGTAGGAACCGTGGATTTGTTGGAGGGAGGGGGAGGGAAGTCAGATGACAAAAAATGTTATTCAGTTTGTAGCAAGGTACACTTACATGCTTGTTAGAGCCTCATTACATTAGGTTTTGGGGGATTAAAGTAGTCGTAATCTTCAGTGTTTATGTAACTCAGTTTTACAGTAAACAGTTAGGCAAGGGGTTAATTTTGTTACCTGATGGAGATAGGGCATGTGCCCTATGAATCTAGTGGGCAAATTCATGAGTTCCAGAAAGGGAACTCGTTTTTCCATGCTGTATATAGAACTAGGGACAGCTGACACACAGTGCTGTTTAAAAAGGGGTTATTTGTAGATGGGATGTTTAATGCTTGACATTTCATAACCATCTCGCTGTTTTGAAACTTATCTAGTTTCAGAGAATGTTGTTCAAGAACTGTCGGCATCTGTAAAAGCACTTCATGTGTTTGCAAGGCTAGTGAGAGTTTATTAAATTCTCTGTCTGGGAATATCTTACAGTTTTGAACACATCAAATAGAGAAATATAAAAGCATTTGTTAAATAACTGTAAGTCACAGCCAAATAAAGCTGAAATCATTCATGCAGGCCAAGTCTTTCAGTGCTAAGGAAATGGTTCTGTTCTGTAGAAGTGATGCGAATAAGGCTTCTTTCATAATGGAAGTTGTTGGGTTTCTTTTTTAATTTCCTTTAAAGGAGACGATCACCGTCACCTTATTATAGTCGATACCGATCACGATCAAGATCTCGTTCCTATAGTCCAAGTAAGTAAATATAAGTGAATAAGTAGAATCTGTCTGGTTTAAACCTTGTTGTTACTAATATTAATTGATTAATGGAAATTCTGAATGTGAAAGCAAAAAATCTGGGCAGGTTAAAGCTGAGTTGTTGTAAACTGTGTACAGTTTGTAAACAGTTGTAAACTGTGTACAGTTACTGTATAGTAATTGTGTTGTCTTTTTTTTTCCCACAGGGCGCTATTGAAGATCAGAAGAGTTACAGTTGAGGACATGATTTTTAAATACAAAGTTCTGATCTTAGCTTCCCTACTGCTCTCCCTCACATTCTTCCCTTCCTTGTCCTCAATCCAGCTCTTTTACAAATCTTTGGTTCGTGTAGAATATACATATTTTCAGTTGAAGTATTCCTGTTTTCCATCCCTCCTTATTGTAATACTCTTAAATATTGTAATTGTTGTAGTTTTTGTGTAGTAAAACATCTTAAGTAAAATGAAATAGAGAACCCAAAGTGCTGATACATTTTGGAAGTCATTCCTATTTCGTTTTTAAAACAATTGGACTGCTGAGTAATCAGAAGAGAGCATTGCTATTTTTAAAGCTTGCATGTCATATGTAATGTACACACTCAGATACTTTACAATAAACCTGCATTTCCAAGTAACTCGTTAATCCTTCTGTTAAAATGTTTACCTATGACTTTGATAAACAAGTAACAACTTTGAGCCTTTTCTGTAATGACAGATTTGCTTAGATAGTCACGAACCAGAGGTTCGGTTGTTTTTTTCTTTCTTTTTCTTTTTTTTTTTATTTTTGGTCAGGTAGTTGCTTTGAGTGTAGACGATTTGAGCTAGAGCAAAATTTGGTATTTGACTGGGAAAATAGATTCTATCCTTGCACACTCAAAATAAAGGCTGTGTTTTATAGATAAAGTTTCTGGTTTGCTACACAGTGGATAATATTTGAAATTAAAATTGTAAAAATCTTAGGGTTTTTATTGTACTTGGTTGAATATTTCCCCTTAATTGGTGCAGGAGAAAAAATATTTATTGAACATAGCAATTAGTTGTATAATTTGCTATTCATTTAAACAACAACAAAAATGCCCAACGTTTTGGTACTTCAGTAATGATTAAGCAAGTTTTGTTTCCAGTCCTTTTTCGAGTTTTGAAAGTATGAATAGAAAAACCTACAACTACATGTAAACCTTTTTTTTTTTTTCCCCCTCAATAAAAGTTAATCCACTGGAATGTGATTTCTTGTCTTCTGTGTTTTGTGTCACCTTGGAATATAGGTTAAATAAGACTGCTGTATGGATAATAAAGTCAGCATTTCTCTGTCTTCTCAGAAGCCTTGTCTTCCCTGGGAATCAGCGTGGAGTTAGATGGGATGGAGAAGTAGAGTGGGAAGTCCAGCTTTCTCTTGTGCCGTCTTTGGCACTTGCTGGAGTCGTGGTGAGATGGTTTAAGGAGAGAAACACTATTGACTTTGTTTAGATTTCTGGCAAGTTTTGTCCTCTGAAAGAACTCTCCATGTGGCTGGTTGAATGTCAGTGTTGGCACAGCAAAAAGAATAGGACTACAAAGCCCTCAGAGCAAAAATAATTTAATCTTGATTGTCAGGGAATGCCACCAGAAGAGTTTGTTGTAATTTTAAGAGGGTAAGCCTGTGAAACTTAATTTTGTTAACTATTTCTGAATGTCAGTGCCAGGAACTATTTACAAGTCATTAAAAGAAACAAAAGCACATCCAACTCTTGTAAAGGCTTGATCCAGTATGCCAGGAGAAACTGGTGACAAAACAACTCCTAACTTAATGGTTATTACTCAACACTTTCTATCCATTATGTTTTATCTATAAATCGTAGTTGAAAACTCTTAGTAAAATGAAAGCAAAGGACCTGAAACACTGAAGTGCAACAAATAACCTTCCAATTCTGATTATTTCACTAGCGATCCAGACAAATTGGGAAGTGTTACAAAAATTGTTCTCTGTAAACCAAAATGCTTAAGTCTGATCATGGAAAACGGTGGGTGTTTTTGATGTGGTTTTGCTCTTTCAAAATTGAGGGGAGTGGTGTGCAGCTATAGCGAGGCAACCGAGGGCAAAAGCATGGGAAGTAGCTGCTGGGCTGGCCGGGGCAGGCATTCTGGCTCCGGGAGGTATGGTGGTAGCAAACAGGAGAGAGGTGGCTTCTTCTTGCCAGGTTATGGTATTTGTGGCCTGTAATTGACGAGGGTTGAGATGTATTAATCAGCTGGACAGCAGTTACTTCAACAGAATGTTGCCTGGAAGCTAAAGCCAGAAAGGAGCGTCTCCATCCTTAGCGTGGAGGTTGTTCTTCAGTTAGACCTAACAATCCTGTGAGTCTGTATTAAGCTGTAAGTGGCAATAGTGTTGCATTACATGATGCATTTTGTGCTTCATGTTGCCTGGAGGATAATTTGTAGCTGTTTCCTCATTTAGCTTTGGGTTGGTTGGTTTGGGTTTTTTTTTTTTTAATTATTATTATTTTAACTGAGATGGGTTGTGCAGAGATCTTGGTGTTAGCAGCTTTCTGTACGTTCTCCCCAAAGATGGGAGCCTGGTCTCTGCTTTGTTGGGAATGGATTTATGAACACTGTGTATATAAGCTGGTGATACTGTCCATAAAAGAAAATACCCTGAGTAACTCTGATACTGTGTCTCTAAACACAGCTAGTTAAACAGATAGATACTTTCTCTAGTCATTTTTGTCTTTTCTGTAGTTAAGGCACTGGAAGCATAGTCGGAACTCTAATTGTGTACTATAGTTCTACAACAAAGTAAAAAAAAGTGAACCTGTGTAACAACTTAGTGTTACTTTGTGCTAGTACACAAAAAGCTTAAGTTCACAATTGAATTTCTAGGGAACGCTTAAATACTGACTTTAGACAAACCTGACAGTTCATCTAGGTTTTTGTGTAGCCTCAGTTCTAGGTTTAGGGTGTAGAATGCAAGGTAATACTTGCTCTTAGACCTTCTGTGTTCCTAAATGCTTCAAAGAAGTGGCCACAAGACGTTCACAACAGCTACTAACACTGGCTGAGACTTTGTGTAATGGAAAATTTGCACCCGATGACAACAGTTGGAGATGTAGTGGTGTATGTGTTGGGTCAAAATAACTTCTGAGGATGTGTGCATGTGTATAAAGATCACGTGCTTAAGGTGAAGTTTATTAAGGCTATCAATTTGTCATTTGCCCTGTAAAACTATGTTTCAAGTCTTTAATCACACGCAGAATTACACAGAATGATAGGGGTTGGAAGGGACCTCAGGAGATCATCTAGTCCAAACCCCTGCCAGAGCAGGTTCCCTACAGCAGGTTGCACAGGAACATGTCCAGGCGGGTTTTGAACATCTCCAGAGATGGAGACAGATAATGACGTTAAACCTTCAGTCTTGCAGTAGTAACCAGTGCATGTGACTATGGTGCTGTGTGACTTGGAAGAGGTGTGACCTAGTCAGTTGAAGAATGGGTTTTGGAAAAGCACCTTCTGTTGTGTGGCTTCAGCAAAGGAAAACCAGTTTGGTGTACTTACACCACTGCTGGCTTTTACTGTCGGTCTATTCTGTTGAGCTGCTGTAGTCCTCTAGAACTAAGGTGAATTCTCTGGACCAGAGAAGGAGAACAATCTTGAGATAAACATTTTCTATTGCTTCCTACAAAAGCAACTTTCTTGGTTAGCCAGATGATGTAAACAAATTTTCCTCATGCATGCAGTCAGCACCCTTGTCTTTCAAACAGCAGTGTAAAGGAGAACACGAAATGCAGACTCAAGCCACACCACCTACACTATCTGTAGACATTTCTTGCATTGCTTACGTTTTACTTCTGCATGAGGTATTTCAGGTGGGACTGCCTCTGTCTGTGGACAGGCAATGACTGT